CTCACCCGTCAAAAAGACCGAACAATTTAACTATATAAATGATATTATCTATTTAACTAACCGTAATTAAGTAAACAGTTTTAATACATAATGATATAAGTTCAATTTAGCTGAAATAAATGTGTGTCAGCTTCAGGAAACTTCAGAGGCTTTTCACCTCGGAGCCCGCCCAGCAGCTTGGCCTGGCACCCCTAGCAGAAGCCTTGAAGCCCGGGCACCGCGTGGCAGAGTTGTGTCAGGCGATTTGCGGCAATTGGTCCGGGCGCGAACAAGCAACGACTTCGAGAAAGGACAAGAAGGCCTGTGGTTTTGGGGAGATGAAGCTCTGACCTGTTTGAGGCGACTTGTTGTCTCTAAGTGTGAGCAGTCCGATGGCCCAGCCAAATCGAAGACTTGCCGGGTAGAGAGAGGTCGGAAGGTGATTTGTTTGTTGGAAGGTGATGTCTATTGGCCACTGTCTCCGGATGGTTCCAAAAGTCTTTTGTTCCAACCGTCTCCATCGTCCAGCTGCCGGTCTAAAACACGTTTCTCGATGCAGTCGGTCAAGGACTTGAACATTCGAGTGCCACCACTTGGACCTTTGGGGAGGATCGTTGGGTCAAGATGATTCTGCAACGTTGGAGTGTTATAGACATCCAATAGACATCCATGATCATAAATATGGGTCAGGGGATCCTGCAATGCGTGTTTGGCCAAGTCACAAAGGACATTTTTATAGATCGAAGCTTAATTCGCTCATTTGCAGACAAAAGTGTCCCCAACTTCGCTCGAATAGACCCACCTCCCGTGGCCAGGTCTTCATCTCCTTGTGCCCGGTCGGTGTTGACCAACGAGATGTGTGGAAAGAGCCCTTAGCCTTGGTCGTGGGTCTTGCCCGTCCGTTGCCAATAAAGAGCCTCGTGGGATTGGAGGCCATTCGCCCAACACTGCAGTCCTTCTGGGAAACGGCCACAGAACGTCTGGGAAACGGCCACTGGCGTGATCAAGCCCTTCGACCCGACGTCTCATGTACGGAGCCCATTTTGGCGGTGTGGCCACTGCGGCTCGCCGGGGGAGCGAGCATGATGCAAGATCCTCATTTGATACCATACTCAGACGGAACAGCAATAGTAATCATGGACATCACCGTCCTGAAGTGTAGGGGCGGCTGGACTCAATCGTCCCAGTCACTGGGAGGGCCAGCACTCACAGAAGCAGCTTGCGTACGAAGCATTGCTGCAGCCCATGTGGCTTGGCAAGAGTGGGCATACTTGCTGGTCTTTGTGGGCAAGAAGCACCTAGGTCTGAACGTAGTACGTTTGAAGTGGATTTTGAAGGCCGGTGTTTGAGGATGTTTCATCGGTAGAAGGTCTGCCCCTATCTTCAATTAAGTTCCATCGGCCGCAATTCAACAGTCAGATTTTTGTTGGGTGCCAACCTCCAAACAGAACCCGCCAGTCAGGCCCTGAACCTGGAAAAGATGGTAGGTTGGAGGCCATTGCTATTAGGCCAGCGGCCAGCGGCTGGGTTCGCCTCAGGTGTGGGACTTCGGTGAGTCCCACGCCGAAACCGAGCCGAGGCAGACGGTGGTGCAGGGGACGAAGGAGGATGGCAGACAGTGGTCGCACCACCAGTCACTGCACGCGGCAAACAAAGCATTGGTGGCTTCAAAACGATGGATCATGTTTAGACCGTTAACCTAGAATTGCCCAGAGTGGTTGGTTCCAATATGTTCCAATGATAAATAGCCATAGGTGTCACTTCCAGAAGTAGGGAAGACTGGAGTCGCTGACAGGATGCCGAAGATGCCCTTTCTTTAATACATGGACGTCGATGTTCTCCTCTTGCTCATCCTTCCTATGCTTTGTCTTGTTCTCCTTCTTCTTCATCTTTTTAATCTTCTTCTGCTTCTACTTCCTGTTTTTGTTTATTTTGCCAGCAGAATACTGTGGAGATATCCAATTGATTCCAATTGTGCATCCAGTTGCCAATCCTTCGTATCTAGTAGCATGGGATGAGCCGACAACTTGCAATGCCGATGGTGCTACAAAGACTGGATAGCACATGATAGCACCAACAGCATACTCTCCCAGCTGTTCAATCAAACTAATCATGTAAAGCTTGTGCTCCAGGCTTCTCTCATGTTCTCTCATCATCAGCTCTTTTCTCGCTCTGAATTTATTTAGGAAGTAGGAATCCAGATTTAAAGCTTAACAATCAAGATTCAGGATTTAAGACTCAGGCTGTGTGGGAGTCTGGATTGAAATCACAAATTAGGGGTTAGGAACTGGACATGGGACCCTGGAACCAAGGCCCATGCTTGCCCGCATGTATGTTATCATTTCTTGAAACTTACTTTGAAATGAACGAACATGCATGAACTATTTAACAACTGTCTCACCAGGATTTCTTGGCTTTGGTCTCGCCAGCCTGGCGTTCCTTCGACTTCGATCTCCCCAGCGGGAAACGCCAGCACGCTCAAGCAGCCTTCGGCGCTTGGTGGTCAGTGCTGCGGATGCTGTGGGCGGAGGCTGGAGCTCTCTTGGGATGCAGTCAGAAGAGTGGCGGCGTGGCACGGAATTTCATGTGACTGGCGAAACGACAAACACATCACATGGCGTGGTAATGTTTGGTATGGTTTGGTGGAACACCCCTTGGAAAAGAGAGAAAGATAGTTTATCTCCGAGTGTAGCCCCCAAAAACCTTCTTGTCAGGACTGAGGCCGCCGTGGCCCAATGCAAACCAACTTGCGGCATGTTGGTCTAGTGAGGTCCGATGAGAGGAGATTGGAGCAGATGGACAATAAAAAACAACTCACAGAAGATTTCTGAAACACCTGGGAGTTCTACTACATCAAGAACTTTATAGAATCAAGAAGGTCTGTAGGGCCTAGGCATCATCCACTTCTGACCAAAGGGTTTGGTTCATTTGACTGGAGGTGCCACTCACGTGGTGCGCCGTCCCTCCTCTGCCCAGTTCCCTCAGCTTCAATCATCTCGCAGCCTCGTGGAAGTTCCAAACGCCCAGGGCCCAAACCAAAGAGCTTAAGGGGAAAACTCTATAGGAATCTCAGAATTTGTTTTTTAGGAAGCCCCAAGCACGTACAGGAAACCCATGGTTTGGGGTATGAAAACAACGGTTTCCTTAGATTTTCCCTTGAAGCCATTGAGTGAAGCGAAGATCGCAAGGTACTGAGCCTCGTGAGCTTTGCCTTTGGGCCGTCCTGGGCCGCTTAGCAGATGAACTGCGGCCATGGGAAGACTTTGTTGCATCTGACGCTACTAGACTGCTCAGTGCCTCCATGCTGCTTGGATGGCTGGCCATGAAGCAGGTCATTTACTGTGCAGATTGGGAGGATGAAGAGAGTGGAGAAATCCGCTGTGAGTGTGGAATTCCACTCGACAGCTCCGAAAAGACAGCTAGCAAACGTGTATCCTTGATGCCTGCGGTGGCTGCTGCCAGAGAGTTTTTGCAACTCATGGCCGAGATCGTTGTGGCCGGTGAGGTGTCCAATGTTCAAAAGCTCTACACCAACACCCTCTCCAACGAGGACTGGCAGGTGCGACACGTGTATTAACACGCGAGCTCGATCGAAGTCCATGAGACTCGGTGAGTCTGTTTCCCCAGTCCGGTGAGGCTCCGCTTTTGGCTTTGGACCTTTAGGTTGTGAGCCCTCTTTTGCGACCGGGACGTCTGACCATGTGTGTATCCTCCGAAGGCATGTTGGACCCCTTTATTTATATCCCCTAATAATAGACAAAATCAATGCAAGCATCAATTTTTGACTGAACTTTGGAGTGTGTCAACTGGCGATCTATTGTGAAGCTCACAGTTCAGCCACCGAACATTAGAATGTCACAACAATGTGTCATAGCGAGTTCGCCAAACTGAACACCCAGTAAAACGACCCACCTGGTCACTGACCGCACCTCCTTTTGTTCGTCCCGTCCTTCCGTCAGAAGGTGGTGTCCAGCTGTGTGCTCCAAGCTGGAGGAAAGACCCAACGCTATCTATTGCTGGATCGGATGGACCTTCGTTTGCCTCCCCGTGCCCGACGGCGGATGGCCCACAGTGATGGCCCGCTGCCGGCCGATGAACTCTTTCGAGAAGAGGCGGAGGACAAGCAAAAGTGCGGTCAGACTTGGGGTGTTGGGACGTAGAATTTGGGATCTTCTTGAAGTGCTTTGAAGCATGAAGACTTAATGTTTCGAAGATGTTGGCCGTACTGGAAAAGTGAATCTTTTGGAAGCCTTTGGCGAAACCTGCTATATATAGTATCAGGACGGTGCTGGCTTACTGACAGTGACTGTGAGTCGTTGGGCAGGGGTCTCACACCAGGTGCTCAGTCCGGAGATCACTTTTTGGTCCTCCCTCCAGGGGATGGAAATCTGCATGTTCCCTCCTCTCCATACTTTCAGATTCCCCACATTCCAAAGGCAACAATTCCCGAGAAGCATGCACAAAAGAGGGCAATGTGCAAATACTGCATGGCCCATCTAGTTCGCTGTTTGAGCTGGGTTTGCTCTGAGTGTTCTTTCCCACGGTTTGTCTCTGTCATGTGTCTTCATACATGTCTCAGTGTTGCTTCCACTGGTCCTCCCAAACCTGGATGGATAGTCCCTGTTTCTTCAACAAGAAGTTTAACCATCTAAAAACACAAATACACAGATCGATACTGTATGTTTCACTGTGATTGAACGTTTCACTGCGAAAACTCTGCTTGGAGGAACTCACGTTCAACCTTTGAACTTAACAGTATAAACTAAGCTTACAATATGAACAGCCCCAAGAATCGTCAGATGATTTTGTTATATCTTGCTGGAGCCACAACGAACCAACCAACCAACCAGCCAGCCAGCCAACCAACCAGGGATTACTAAGGCCAGTAGATCCCGAACAACACCAACCCAGTCTGAGGGAGTGGCAAGGTCACCATCGGTCACCATGACCCAAAAGCGCGGTGATCCGCGCAGTGCTTCGCTTCTCCCGATGATCAGCTCCTTGCGCAGCAGACTCCCAAGGCAGGTCCTCGTGATGAGCCGCTCTTCAGTGCTTTGGCGGATGCGGTGGCCGGGGGCCTCAAGGGCCTCAAGGGTGGGCAGGATGGCTGGTAGACAGTTCATGTGAGCCGTTCGATGATCAAGACACGTTCATTGAGGGTAGTTGAATATATGTAACCGGTGTTGGATATGTGTAGGTGGTGTTGGACAGTTTCTAGACACTTAGGAATCAGTGAAAGAGGCAGTGAAGAGATGTGAAGAGATGCCCCGAGACGCGTGGGTAAATCGAAGGACACAAGACTGCAGGACTTGGTCTATCGTTCGCTTTGGTTTCTAGGGCCGTGTTGGGGCTGTTTGTGTTTGTGCTGGTGTTTTGTGGGAGCAAAAGGACAGGCATTGCCAGCATTGCCCTTCATTGAAGGCATGATTACGAAGCAATAGTTGAAGAATAAGGCAAACTGTTTGGTTGACTGCCACAACCAACCATTTGTTTGATTCCATTTGTATACTTTGATGACGGTGTCACACTGGAAATCGGACGCCCGGGCCCAGATCCGTCGCGTCAGCGAACTGGAGCTGCTCGTCGGCACGTGGACGCGGTTGATGGGGGGCACCCGAGGATGAGCTGGTTTGGTTGCCGCGCAGGACGTTGGTTGAAAGGAAGGCATTGGATTTCGAAGGAGCTGAATCGGATTGGAGGAATGCAGTGGATTGAGAGTTTCATTGTGTGTAATGAATGTGTACAGTAAGCCAAATTATATAGAAGAACCAAGGCTTTGCAGCGGTGCATTCCATCCTGTTCATGTAGGCCAGGTAGGTGAAATGTGCCCTGCAAGTTTGGCGTAAAGGGCATCAGCGTTTTGACTCGACCCCTCATCTGACAAGAGTAGTTTAGAGTCCATTTGCTTTTTTCAGGGTTATCACTCTCTACCTCCACTACACTCCGACTCACTCAAATGGAAGTGATAAAGTAGTTTAAAGGAAAGTTGTCTTCCAAAAGGGACCCATGCCATTTTACATCCAAAAGGGACCCATCATGGGAGGTGCAAGCGGCTTCGCTTCGGAGCCAACCAGCGGTATGGCCACTCCAGCTGCGCGGCGCGCGGCGCCAGGCCGCTCCATGTGGCCAACCTCTGCTGGGCCTTCGCCAACGTGGCCCGCGCCGATGAGCCGGGGACGCCTGGAGGGAGCCACCGGGGCGACCGCGCCCACCCGACCAGACCGTGGGGGGGCGCAGATCGGAAAGGAACAGAAGGGGATCAGAAGGGATGCGAAGAGGCAGATGATCATATCAGTTATCAGTTATCATATCATATACAGTATAGTATATTACAGTATATAATATACTTTGTCATTATATATATATATACTGTCTATTCAATATGCAGTTTTTGTAGTATAGAGACAAGTAGAATTTCCTCAGCTACGATACGGACACGCACATTGCCAAGTTCTTCTACACCGCTGGTGCCTGTTTGAAACTAGATGTGTGTTCCTGTTTCTTTGTATAACTTGGACAGGATACTGCAACAACAACAACTTGTTAATTGTGTGCTTTGGCACTCCTAATACCAGTAGCCACCAGTTAGCACTCCAAATTGGATCTTCAGCAATGATATGTTCAGTTGGGGATCACTATCGATGATTCTAGGATTCTAGGAGGACTAAGGGAGAGTGTACTTCCAAAGTAACAAGCCTGATTGAATTCCGGACTCAGTATGACTTATCAACTGCTTGCATGCCATGCTCATTCCAAGACTGCCCACTCCTCCAACTCTTAAAGGGAAGCACCTCCCACCACCTCCCACTCCCACCACCTCGCTGCTTCGCGGTGCGACCGCGACCCGACAGGATCAACGACCTGCGAAAGCCCGGCATGCGCCACGTGTCGCTGTTCCAAAGCCTCGGCCGTCGAGTGTCCAGGCCACGTCCTCGGTGCCGGGGCGGGTTGGAGAGAGCAAGCACATGGATTTGCCGCGGCTTTCCATGCGTATTTGGGGATGCTCCCCCCCGCGGCATGGAAAGTCCATCAGGATTCAGCACTTTTTGCAGTGAAAGCGATGCTCCTGCTTTAATGATTCCATGACGAACTTGAGTAAAATGTCCTCTTGGTGGGTAAGATGCTGCCAAAGTGGTAGCTTTACATCCACACTAATCAGTCGGTGTGTGTTTTTCTTTTTGGTCTTTCTTTAAATCCTTTGTCTTTGTTGAATCCTGATGAATCCTGTCTCAGGTCAGGACTAGGATTCGTCTTCGGGGATCACATCGCCTCTACCCACCAAATCCTCCAGCAGGTCACGGAAGTGCCGCACGACCGCCGTCGGTCGCCCCGTCCGTCGCCCCGTCCGTCGCTCGACGTCTCGGTGCCGCAAGGCTCGCCGGGGAGCTGCTGCCGCAACACCACGCTTCGATCCTGTGGGCCTTCGCCAGCTGCGAGGCGAACGGAGAGACCGGGAGGAAGAGGAGAGAACGGAGGTGATTCCGTGTTGTTTGGATGGATAGATGGGAGGACTGGTGGAATCAGAGGATGGAACCTGTGGATCTAGTGCTGGATCGCTGGTAGGATAGGTCCGTAGGACAGCCCCCTCCAACGGCGATCACTGGAGGGGTTCCATGACGGAAAACATGGTCCAATTTTCGCCCTGCTTCTCTGAAAAGCACTGAGTCTAATGCTAATGCACAATTATACACAGCAGTGGTTGGTTGCAGGAACTCCGGGCGGTTTTTCCCAGGTGTTCAGACCTTCCTTTGCCTGGGCGAAAGAAAGCGGGGGAAAGATCTGTCGCCGAGTCCAACCGAAAACACTCCAAGGTCGACGGGACGACGAGGTTCGCAGAAACCGTGTTCATCCGCTGCGGTGTTTTTGCGGTCTTCGGGTGAAGGTTGAATGAATTTCCCGGCCTCCTAGAGGTGAATCCCCCGACAATGGGGAACATGTTTGTTCTGTTTCCCCAGTTTCTGGACAGCAAATCCAAGGGTTGGCGTATGTGAGAGATGACTACTTCATGCCATGTGTGAATCAGAATACTTGAATTACTGTACTTCAGTACATCCCGGTTCCATCAGTAATTTCAGTTCACACGACGACTCGACTCGGCGACTCACACTGGTCCCTCACCAGACTCTCCAGTTCCACTGGTCAAGCAGCGCAGGTCAAGGATGGTGTGTCCGCACTGATCGACCACATGTTCCCAGCGATGCAAGCAAGGCCAGTTGAACTGCTCGCATTGATTAGTCGACGTCGTTTCCTGCGGATATTGAGACCTCTCGCATCAAATACGTGGATCTTGGTATTTCTTGAATTGGTTGTTGCGAGATTGCAAGAAGACATGTGTTGGAGAACGTGTGAAAGAGATTGAAAGAGCCCTTCAGCAGAGGAAGCATGCAGAAGCTCAAGCGCTAGTTGAAGGGCTGTGCTAAAGACTAAAGACCCCACTTGGTTTGATCCAAAGATATCAAAGAATCTAAGGGCCAAACAAACCAGGCACAGCTGATCACAGCTGTATACATACAGTCAGCCTGGAGCAGATAGAATTTGGACATCCAAAGAGCAATGGGAAACGGGTCATATCTTCGGTATGGTCATATTATTCTATCTACCCCAGGATGGTTGATGATGGTTGTAAGGTTATAAGTTTAGCTCACATGTGCGCGCTCGAGATCGATTGCGCCAAAACCCCGGGGACAACATCTCCCGAGCTTTGGTTTGCCTTGATGGAAATCGCAGTGCAGTTTCGCTGGATGTTTTAAAGATTGATAGCGTGATTTGCCGGACTTCCCTGCAACCTCGGGGTCGGTCTTTGACCGATGGGACCTTTTTGGGTCGACGGTGGAGACCCAACGTTTAGGCGGAAGGTGGGTTCCTTCAGGTGGGTTCAGGTGCATCCCCCCAAAAAAAGGAACTTGGACTGAAAGATATCAGTGAGCTGTTTGGTTGTCAGCAGAGGCCTTCTCTATCTTTATCTATCTTTGGGAGATATGAACGTATTGAAACGTCCACATGTGTCTACATATAGCATCCGCTTGCGGGTAGTGTCACATGGAACAACATGGCGGTGCCTGTCTATCCCTGATATGCTCCTTCCTTCTCAGAAGGTGGATATATTGTCAATATTCCCTATATGAATCCATGTACCCTCCATACAAGGACTGAAATGGAAAGGGTTTGGACCGGGTTGGATCCTCCAAATATTTTTCCATTGGAGAAGAAAACCCTGCCAATATAAAACTGTTTCTTCGAAACCAACCGACTTGGCCGTTGCGAATTCCTCCGGGTTCTTGCCTCTGCGCAGACCTGGGTCCTACGATGGTCGGCAAGCGCCATGGCTCAGTCGTTCCAGTTCGGTCGACGCGTTTGGAAGAAACACCGACGGCCCAAAGGGCTGAGGGTCCTCAGTTCGCTAGGGGTTTGGACCACAAAAATGGGGGGTTGAACCGAAGCAACATGTAGCAAGCAGTTGGTTCGGGTTGGTTCGGGAAAATCGATTTGGTCAACGGCTACACCTGGAGGGCACCAGGGTTCGTACATGGTGCATGCCGTGGTACTTGATGCAGGACCTTGAAGGCTATCGTCAGCATGGCTCTGACAGAGCAGACTCTTTCAATCAGAGTCTTGGACCCCAAACACTGTACCGGAAGAGCACGCCACTCATGGTACTCATGTCACTACGCTTTGCAATGCTCCGCTGTTCCCTGTGGAATTTATATATAATATTATACAGTATATAATATAGCCGCCCATCCAAACATGGACTTCAGTAGCTTCGAAGGGGTTTCCAATTGAATAATTTCCCTGCACTACTTGTGGATCTCCATTGGACACCTCTTTGAAGGTGTGTCAATCCGCATTTGACACTACGTATGTTTTTGGTGAGGTTCAATCTCAGATTCTCTCAGGACAAAGTTGGGGTGGGCGTTTGATACTATAGAGTCAGTGGGTGAATTTCAAAGGGGGAAATGGAGAGACTATAGACCTCAGAACCAACATGGAGAGGGAAACCCACCCGAAACAGTCCCCGTTCCGAAAGAATACCCACACAAAATACCGGACCCTTCCTACTCCCTTCCTAGTCCCTCCTCATGCAAAAAGCATGTTGCAAGGTCCACCTTCCACCTTCCGCTTTCCCACCCTGTTCTTTGAACCCGGGGACCCGGTCCGGTCAGGCTGCCGGGATGCTCTGGTCCCTGGCGGCGCCTCGGTCTTGGTTCGGAACACCGGCTCCGGGGTTCAAACAGCGGTGGGACTCCAGTGGGACGTCCTAAGTGTGTTCAGGTTCACATGGGACCAGCGATGGGAGTTCCCAAAACAGCCTGAGCTCTTCCAGGAGCTCTTCCAGGTGCCCTTGGATCCACTGCCTGTGCAGCGCATGATCCGCGCATCAGGCACCGAGGAGGTCTCGGAAAGTGAGAGGACACTGGGTACCTGCTGGATTGGTGCCTTTGGCAGCTGGCATGGCTCATGGTGTTCGATGGGACCCCATGGCGTGAACGGTCTTTCACCCCCTAAGCTCAGGGCTCCTGGCCCATATGCTCAGGTGACCGGTGGTATTCGACCCAGACCCCCCAACCACCCCACCCCTGGCCCATCTTCGAAACGGGTGGGACAGGAGCCCCCAGGACCCTTGTGGTGTTTCATCACCTCTCGAACGAGATCGGCACCCTAGACGTTTCTGGTCGACCCGAACATGTGAACACCGGAAGAACGAGCTCGCCGTCCCTTTTGGTTCCTTTTGGCCGCACACCCTGAGGTGCTCCGAGAGCCACATCAGCCGTTGATGGACTTCCTGATTCATGAGGTTTGCCACACTGGAACCGTCTCTTGGTGGAATGATGTGGAGCCGGCACCGATGAGACGGCAAGCGCTTCGCTCGCCGAAGCCGGAACTGGACCTGGCAGTTCAGTTCGGAGTAGAAAGCAGATTTTGCTATATATATATACTGTGTATATTTGTTTATTTATTTAACTTGTCTTTTTAAACTGTAGAACTTCCTACAGAAGAGAGCTCGGATTTGACTTGATGTTCAACGGAAGGGTCCGTGTATAAGTGCAGGCCGCTGCTTTGACTTGATCGGACCCAATGATCCAGTGTTTGGGTTGTGTTCGTCCTTGCTCCAGCAGTCCAGCTCACTGTGGAAGAGCCTGGATCTCGGACATCACGTCTAACGCTGGAGAGATGGTCAGCGGTGTCTCCCCGAGGATCCAGTCCTTTTGATCCCGGTTTCGCTCACATAGAACTGCATGGAACTCCCCGAGCTTCGCCCTGTTCTGCTCCAAGAGACTGGACCGCCCCAGACAGACCCCCCAACTGATCGGCCACCCCCCAACTGGTCGGCATTCTGCTGGGACTCGTCCCGTCGACAGGTCGTGTTTGGTCGTCCCAGACGGGTCACACGCCATAAGGGCAGCAGAAGGGCGTGCCAAGCTTCCAGGGCCCCGGTGAGAAGCTTGTGGTGCCCCAAAGCTCAGCTGAGGAAGGGCTGATTCGAGATGGTCCTGCTCATTTGGCGTGGCTTGGATGGGTACGAAGTGCTTCCGATGACTTGACGCTGGGATGGAGCTGCCCAGAGTGTTTAGATTCAAGAACATCTCGACATCGAGCCTCCGGTTGTTGCCCAATGGATGCTGCAACAAATTGTGTAGCTTCAGCAACACAATTGTTCCACCCAGAAAACAGGTCACTTCAGTGGTCTCTCTGATTTGAAATCCTTAATGTCAGACTCCAAACAAAGGTCCTCAGCTTGGGGTGATGTGGTGCATGGTCCATCCGCTTCTCCTCTTTGTGCGGTCGGAAACCATTTGCCAGGTCCATCGTTTGGGCCACCGCACGATTCTCCAAGCCAAACCCTTTGGTCGCGCAGGCCGCGAGTGTGTGGAAGACGAAGACGGGCTAAGACACCTTTAAACCACTTCCCTCATGAGCCCATGCTGAGCCCATGCTGAGCCTCGTTGGATGGAAAGCCCAGAGTGGGGACAAGAAGCTACTAGGTGGAGGCCGTCACCACGAAGCCTTTCGCCTATAGCCTTTAGCCGACCGTCGCAGGCGCTGAGCGCGGCCCCGCGGCGTCTGGCCGCCGAGCTCGCCGGCGGCGCCGCGGAGCTCAGCGAGGGCCGAAGCCTGGGCGCCTGGGAAACCGGGTTCACGGTGGCGCCACGGGCGGGCGAGTGAAGGGTTGTGAATATGTGAATGGTGGGACCTTTGGGGGGTGGTCCCAAGAAAGCACTGGTGTTTTGGGAGGCCATCTTTGGGGCATGAGGGAGTTTGTTGGAGGGGAGGTTGAGGTTTCCTTGGATCCCCAATGTTGCCCTAGAGACCATGGAATCCACCAGACATGCTGCGGGTAGCGATCAAGGCTTCAAGTCCGCCCGAGTGTGGTCACGTGTGGTCGTGGGTTGTGGTGGCTGCTCCTGCGACTGCTGTCGTTGTGGCTGGTGGAGTTGTGGCAGTTGTTGGTGGTGGTTTGCCATAGTTTGCCTATGTCATATCACATCCCAGGAACATCTTTGGGTCAGCTCTTTGAGTGGTATCTTCACCTCCATGCCGGTACCACCAGGGATGATGTTATTTTGAGACAGGATTGCTCAGCACTGGCTTCCTCCCTGATTTAACGTTCAGAGGATGCCCATGAAGAAACTAGCCATTGTAGCGCTGCATGTTGCTACGTGTCATGTGCTTAGCTAGTTTGGATGAGTGTGGCAGTTCTGGCATGTTATGGCCTTAGGGAATAGGCATATTTTGTTTTGGTATACTGTATGTGTTCGTTCTCGTGTTCTATGATCCAAAGGTATCCCCTCTTCAACTTGGGAACCTCAACAATCCAACTTGACTCGTCTTCTCTCGGAAGCCGTTTTTTCCCGGGCGGACCAGTGGACTGGCGGCGTTAGTGGACCACGACAGAGTGCATGGCACCCGATCGAGTCCAAGGCCTCCATAGGTCCGGGGTCGAAGCCTCTAAGGCTAAGGGCTTTGGGTCCCCTCAAGACCCTTGTTTTGGAGGGTCCGGATCCTCAGGGCACTCACCATGACCCGCTCACCCTGCGATGCGCAAAGCACCGCGCGCGAACAGGGCAGAACATTGCTGCGGTGGTTCGCTCCATGTACGTGCCTTGCCGTGAGTCTATGGGAATCCATGGTTTACATGCACATGTTGATGTGAGCCTGAGTTCACAAACGGGTGCCAACTGGCGGAAAGATCCATGACCAAACAGTTTATCATGTGTTGGTAATTAAACTATAGGTTCTTGTTCCCACCACTGGATTGAAGAAAGACGGATGTCTGTCGGAGTTCTAGTGGACATGCCCCTCACCTTGGAGCTGCATCTGAGGAATTGGGCTTAAGCAGCACAGCACGCACACTCCTCGATGAACTGGAGGCCGTTGAGCAGATGGTTCCAACGGAGCCCATGAGGGTGGGTCCAAACCCGGAGCCATAAACACCATGTGGCTTAACCTTCCAGGTATATAGGTCAACCAAGTTATCCTGCTTTTGACCCACAGCCATATGTTCCAATGGATGCTGGTAATGATAGAAGGAACCCGAGTGTCCTGAGGTGACTTCAAAGCTCAGGGTGACTTCAGATCCATGGTGAAGATTCTTGGGAGCGGATGTTTTTTTCTGAAAATCACCCTGTCACAGTGGACCAGTGGTGATACGGCTTTGCAATGCCACTATCATACACTATCCGTGGCCCACCTGCGCAGGGTCCAAGCTAGAACATCCAGAGGAAAAGACCATTCCATTCTGAAGAAGAACACGAATTGGAGAAGAGAGCCTCAGAGCATCTGAATTCCCAGAATGCCAATTCGTGTTCTTTCGATTCTGAAGAAGAACCTCTTCATGATGCCTCAGAATGCCTCAGAGCATCCCATGATATCCCATGAACATGAGATGAGGTGTTTCTCCCTCAACGACCCACCGCCATTCGTCGTCCCACCGGAACCGGGTCGCCGTCGGTGCGGTGCTTGGGTCTTTCGTCCCCCCAAGACGTCGACTCAGTCGACCACGGGAGATCCGAGGAACCGGGGTGTACAAACTGTATCAGTTCGTTCATGAATTGGAGAAATCCAGCCGTAAATCATCGTATATAACTCCTTCCCACAATCTCCGAGTTCGTGAGTTCTGAACTTGAAGTGCTTGGGCGACGCTGTCTGGAGCGTTTTCTCGATCCATCCGATCGCCGCAAGGCCCTGGGCCTCTTGTCTCCTGGAATCGAGGAGCTCGCGCGAAAACGGAAGTGCGTTTTGAGACGATCTAAAGGAAAGAATGGTTTGAAAAAGCTCTTAGCCGTTTTGAGACTCATGGAAAAAATGGTTTGAAACAAGACAGCAAAGTGTTCAAAAGGTCCTCTTAGAAAGGGACCTGATTAAAGATAGGACCCAAACACCTTCCAGATTTGAGCTAAGAGTTCTGATGGAAGATAGATGAAGATGGGTGACTCAGAAGTGGATACACTTATGTCCACATTTCTACCTTGCAGATGGGACACCCTGGGTGACCTCGGGCCTGAAGAAAGTTGGCTGATGATTCTTTTCAGGCCAACTGAATCTCTTTTTGGTGCACCCTCACCCACAGGAAAGAGGACAAATCCCCATCCGTTGTTCGCACGGCGTGTTGAAGAGATTTGATCGCACGGCCATTGAAAATCTCCGGCTCACCTGGAAGTGGAACACCCCCTTTTAAAGGGACATCCTCTTCCATGTTTCCCACTTTCCAAGTGAGTGAACCGAGGGGCATGGTCTTCCAGACTTTCCGAAAAAGCTCCACCCTATGAGTCGTCCGGTCATCGGGGGTGGTGAAACCGTTTCACGAAACGGCCGGGTATCGCGGTTCATCTCCACAGCTGAAGAGGCCTGGGCTGCTTGGCTTTGGGGTGCTTTTGCAGTTCAAGATTTGCAACTGGAAGTGAGAGCTTGGGCGGGTGTGAGCCTCAGACCCATTGTGACTGGTGACTGGTGACTCTGATCTGCTGACAGGTTCCACTTCGGGAGTGTTCCGCCCAAAAACACCTTTCTGGAAGCCAGGAAGATGCGCATGGTCCCATGGTCGTTTGCTGAAGTCCATCCACAGTTCTTAAGGGGGGAAGATGTTGGTTTCTCGATCCAAATGATTTGAGCGATCTCATGCGCTCATTGACGACCACCGAGACGACCACCCACCGTGACGACCGCTCTGGGACCGACGAAGGACTGAAGTGATTGGAGAGACTGAGGCGTTGGTGGCGTCCTTGTTACACGAACGTATCGATGTGACGTGTTGCTCTAGTAGTGCCAGGAGCTACTGCGAATGCATCGATGTGACCTGTTTTGGCAGCATGATCACACTTGGCCCCGCATGTTTATGTGTCAGAATCTGCCCAACAACTGTCAGAGTCTGGGAGGCGAAATTGGCAGTGCACTCCCAAAACTGCTGAGGTTTTCATTGCTGATCCCAAAACTGCTGAACTGCACTTGTTCAGGGCCTCCTGTACTGGAGACAATCCATCAATGATTTACGGTGCCAAAACCAGACAAAAGCGATTCTCCTTCATTGTAGATACTTCTAAACATATACAGAACATTGGGGAACTGCAACAACCAAGAAGAAGCAGGAAGGAGACTGCAGCAAACTGGCCCAGGAAAACAATGCCAGGATATGCCGGGTCTATTCTTGGCATTAGTGATGTATTACAATTCTACGACCCTCAATCCTCCTGCTATGTGTGCTTTTGCCAGAATGTGCTTTTGAATCAGATCCGGCCAAATATGATATGTGTTCCTTGTTGCCCAGAAATTATTTCGCATTCAACTTAGGCCTGAGTGAAAGCTGTGAGGGGAGTGCACGAAGCTTCGTGGGGGGCTCAGCCTGGGTGGGGCAGCTTCGTTTTCCGTCTTCCCCTTTCACATCTTTTCACGGTTTGGAGGAGATACACAAGTGTGTCGGGGCCACTTGAAAACCGGAATTACATGCCCTACACCTCCAAGTACCTCCTCAGGTTCGGTGTTTAGACCCTCCTGGCACCCACCCCAGTCCCACCTTCTCAGAATGTACTTGGAGGCCTTAGGGATGTAATCAATCATTACATGTCGTTGTGCCCTTGTTGCGAATTATATATCGTTGTGCCCCAGCGTTGCGCTGCGAGAAGAGAACGCAGCGTTCCACCGGTGTGAACCGCCCCACCCACCGTCCGTAAAAGGGGACGGGTCCAGTTGGCCGATCGATCTAGCGGATGCATGCGGATGCATGCGCATGGTCCGATTGGGTTGGATCTCATGCCCTAGTTAATCTATGGGACTGGAATATTTGCCTACATTTGAGGTGATGTTCAGGTGTTTTAAGGGTCCATGTAGGTGAATATTCCATGCATGGATGGTCTGGGATGCGAAGAATCCAATCGGAATCCGTTTGGATGGGGGCGAACCAGCAACGGGCAGCCTTGTTTCATGAAGGGCGACAGTGTGCGATGGTCGTTCTTCATGGGTGGGTGTCGTTCTGAACGGTTGGGGCCTGGGATGGACAGATGGAGTGACGACCGCAGAAATGTCTACCAGGTCGGGTCGAGAGAAGATCATGCACGGTCGCACGAGAAGCACCGAACCGCATCGATCGGACCAGAATCAGGATTCGGAACCGGTACTGGTAAGGTCTCTTGGTGTCTCCTGAGATATTTTTTCGGTGCAACTCTGAGAGCAAACTCAGAGCTATGGAGAGCGCCTCGTGGTGCAACTCTGAGAGCTGAGCTCAGTGGACGGAGAAAAAGGAAGGAGAGTCGGTGTGCATCACATGGCTTCGCTTCGGAGAGCTCAGTTGGATTGCCAAGCCTCTGGGGGAACCAGAGCCCGAAGTCTGTGGGGCCTGGTGAAGGTGAGGGTTCGTGCTAGGCTGCTAGACGGTCTAGGCTGGTGAGCCGAGCAGGGCTGACACCTGGGGTCTCCATCTTCACCTTATAGCAGGGAGGAACTGGGAGCACCGGGAGGGAGTCCTGTAAGGTGCTGTCAGTGACGTGCTTGTCAGGGAAGAATCTGGATTCTTTTCAAGAAGCCCTTAAGAACAAGATGAACTAATTCCTGTACCATTTGTACTTTGAACTACTCAATTTGCCAGTCGTTCAAGAATCCCTCCATGTAGCTGTGGTTTGGCCCGGTAGGGCATGTGGCCACATCTTTGGATCACCGGAACGTGTGTTTCACTTCACCATCCCCTAGAAGTTCCTTGAAAACACATCACACAGGATTTCGGGGTGGCTCAAAGGCAAGACATTTTCTAGATGCTGAGCTCTTAAAATCATTGAATCCTTACAACAGGAATAACAGGCCCCCGGAGAAAATGGATAGCACTTATGAGCACTTATGTAATCTTATGATATCTTATGCAGACATATATGAATGATTATATTGAATGACATGTGCGGCACTCACGTCCGGTACGTGTTCATACTTTTTCATACGTGACGTGAAGCCACCGATGGGTGGATCTCCACTGGATGGTGGTTGCGCCGGGAGACCCTGAATTTGGCGTTCGCACGGCTTGGATCTGGACGGCCGGACTCACATGTGGGCTACTGCTTGGAATGATTCATCAGCCTAATGCAGGTGGTTTGGTGGACGAGATGAGCTTCTTTACATCACGTTGATCCTGTGTGTTCTATGATGATATTGTGTATTGTGAATATATATATATATATATGGCAAGGTGTGCAATGTTGACAGTTGATAAATCACCTCCCAGTTGGATTCTTTGCAATTTCTCATCTCCTTAAGGGGGAGGTGATGACCGACAGATGCATTTTGCCCCATTCCAAGCTACTCAGCAATTGCTGGGTGACTTGAGCAGGTGCTGCTCCGAAGGTCTCCTGGGGTGCTAAGCTGTTCTCGTGCATCCTGATCAGCAGCCTCACTGGCTTGGCCATTCTCTTTCCACGCGGTCCAGTGGATGATCACGAAGATGACATTCTGAGGCAGGGTGGTTCAAACACAGAGTTTCCGTCTGTGAAATATCAGATTCGCACCGCGCACCTACAAAGAAAGAATCTGTTATATAATGTTATATAGGTTTTACATGGTTTTGCATGGTTTTACTTATTTCTGAGGATTCGAGTAACCCTGTTGCGAGGTTTTTCACTTTGGGATCATTGAGTGTGATTGCATTGCTTCATGTCCTGTGCCTTCTTAAGAGCCATCCACCATCCTGCTACATGACTGATGCCAAGTGGTGCATCTTTGGTATTTGGCTCGGTCGGATGAGCTATTGGCTTTACGAGATTTCCCTTGAGTATGGCTGGAGGTCGTTCGCAAGCTTTCCTTTGTCCTTGAACTGTGGCTTCGACTCCGTGGTTTGCTGCTGGATTCTGATGCTCTTCCAGTGCAGACTTCAGGTGCAAGACCCGTTCGCTCCAGTACCCAGACGCTCCATGTATGGAATATATGCCTACATTGGGGTGCTTTGGGGGGTCATGGGGGTCAATGTAAGCATATATATTCCATACATGGAGTGTATGGTATATATATATAGACCCCCATCATCCCCAATCTCTTTCGATCTTCAATCGACGGGTGTGTTTTTTCTCGGATCGGATCGCGGGTGCATCACGTCGCCTCTTTTTTGGGGTCGGAGCTGCAGAGCTGCAGTGGCGCGACTTGTTTGCGTTTTGAAACGAGGCCCTTCATGGAATCACAAGAACAGCTTCCAGACTTTGGCTTTACATCTTTGTGGTGGCCTTGGCAGCGGTTTTGTTTTGTGTTCCTTTTTGAGAGATATCTGAGATATCGTGGATTGTTCCAATCGAAGCCAAGAGGTCTCCAGGTCTCCCAAGAAATCGAGCGATCAGAGGCGGCCTTGTTCCTGACGTACTACTTCGAGGGCCTTCGCTTGGGCTACGATACACGCCTGGGTGACTGCTGCGGCTTGGCTGTGAGGCTGCCATTTCTGTGCTTCTGGGCTAGCTATATCATCAGTGTTTGCGTGTCCATCACAAACTGCATGGCGAGTTTGAGGATGGAATCTATGAAAGTTAGAGGTCTCGCCAAGCAACAGGCACATTGGACAGGGGATGACCTAGCTACGTGCGCTGGACCTAGCTGCTTGAGGAACCGAAACAAAACGCGATGACTTGCCAACCGACCAATGAACTTTGACACAACTCACAATCGAGCAATGAAATTCTATGAAGTTCTTGAGTCCCTTCTTCCTCCCCTCCTTGTGACCCATGTATCGTGATTCTTTTCTTCCCTTGTGTCCAGTCGTGAATATCGGACGTTGGAGTCTCCTGCAGATCCTGTGGGCCATTGGGATTCTGCGGATGGAGCGCGTGCTTTGTGCTGTCGTGGGCATCTCCTGGTTCCTCTCTTATTCACTTCAGGCTTTCGTGCTTGCACTGCAGACCTGGCAGCAGAACGACTATGCCTCTCAGATGGTCAGAGTTTTACTCACTCACAAATATTTTTTAAGGTGAACTTCTTGTGGGAAATAGGACTCCGTCGGACGGCTCAGGAAAGCAGTCAGGAATCTCTTTGGGGTTGGGTGGACATTTTGGGCCACGTGGATGGTGTCATCAGCTGCGTGAATTTAGCGTTCCTCTCGGGAATTCTTTGGCAGAGCTCCCCTCCTGCTGAAACAGATGCTGAAACAGAATCGAAGGCAAGACTCAGGGGCCTATCCTCAATGGCAAGCTTCCTGGAGGCTGGCGAGGAGCCCTTGTACCATGCCAAAATCGAAACTCGGCCAGTGGCTTTTTGGCTTGTTTTGATGCTTTTTGCTGGTCAACAGGCGTACCAAGTTTTGTACCCAGTTACCCAAACCCTTCCAGCTTAGTGGCAAAGAGGAAGAGTTGGCGCACCGTGGGATTCGTTTGGCATTCTTGCTGGATTTCTGGGAAGAGCTCTTGGAAGGGACGCTGATGCCAAGCTTTGATGCTGAACGGTCGCTGACCAATGACGTCGTCCGCTTGGCCATTATCCCCAGATCGCGTGTCGGAAGAGGTGGGAAAGCCTTAGCATCTATCTGGGAAAATTCGGTGTTGCCACGGAATATGGTCACACACAACTGGACCAACAGATTTGCTTGCCTCGTGGGAGGCATAGTGGCAGATGCTTTGAATGAGGGCACCTACGAAGAGCTTGCGGAGCAGTTGAATAGCGAAGAGGGTGTGGAGAAGCTGAGAAACAGGCTGTTGGAATGCGGAAAGATGGATGTAACCTACTGGGTTTGTGCCTTCTCCGTTAATCAGCATGCAAGCATTTGCGGCGGATATGGTCCTGAACCCCCAGAAGACACTCCTGAATGGCAAGCATGGGATCAGAAAAGATACGATTCTGTGAGTTTGCAGAAGTTCCCTCTTTGCCGTTGCTCTCAGCCCAAGATTTTAAGCCATGCAAACCCTGCTTGTGAGTTGAACAAGTTCGATGACATGATGCGATATTTGGACCGGCGAGTGTTACTATTTAGCCACGTGATCATCGTAGACCAACAGTTTGAGCTTCTTCGCAGGGCATGGTGTGTAGCTGAAATCGTCGAAGGAAATGTCTTAGGCACCTGTCCACAATTAGGTTCTTCTTTGAAGCAAGTGGGTAGGGATTACTTGCAGTAACCATCTAGTATGCTGTTTCCTCACATGCCTTTCACGCTGTTTCGCTCGCTCCCCCTTTCACAAGCACCGAGGCATTCCTGCGAAGATCAAAGTCTTTTCCCAAGCTGCCGTGGATGGCCACTACGACTGGCTCGCCGTCATGGATGTCCGGGACTGTTCCGCCTCGTCGGCGACGGACAAGGCGTTTATCTTGGGCAAGATCGCCGATGTGGAGGCCTTCAACCTGAAGCTACAACAGTTGGTCTTCAGTGCCGAAGGCGCGTTCT